GTAAACTGAATTAAAAATTACAATTAAAAATGAAATAAAAATAAAAAATAATTAGAAATACAAATTATAATAAATCTGGTGGGGTGGACCAAAAGATCAGAACTACTGATTCCTACACAACATTTGTAATAAAGGACATTGGTCATTTCAGTTGCTTTTATGATATATATAAACCACAACTGGCCACAACTGATTGTGTGCTTAGTGGATAACTCAGGCAGCAGACCCCTGAGAAAGAAGAGGAGAAAGAACAGGAACCATCATTGAGGACAGCCCCCTGCACGGCATGTACCACCAAGAAATAGAAGAAGTGGATATAGAGAAATCCTGCTAATGGCTTGACAAAGCTGGACTGAAAGACAACACAGGGGCACTAATCATGTCAGAACAGGAACAAGCTATAAGCTCAAAATTAATAGAGGCTGAGGTCTAACACATCAGCTAAGACACGTGCCTACGTGCAGGCTGTGCAAAGATGCCCCTGAGACAACCCAGCGCATAACAACAGGGTGCAAGCTGCCATTAGACAGGGCATATGTGGAAGTGTATGCCGACATAGTATACAGGAACATCTCTGGAAGTATGGTCTGGAAGTCCCGAGGTCAAAATGGGATAGGAGAAGGCCTTAGTGGTAGACGTAGCTATACCAACCAATAGGAACATCAGGAATAAGGAACATGAGAAACTCGAGAAATACCAAGGGCTGAGAGAGTAGAGAAGATGTGGAGGGTGAAATCGGAGCGCTCAAAGCAGTGACTGGGCGACTGGCTCAAGCAGATCCCAGGAATGACATCTGAGATCTCTGTCCAGAAGAGCGCAGTTCTAGGAACACAGCAAAGATACTCCAGGGTACCCTCAAGCTCGAGGGAAGGACAAAGGGTGGGGAATTTTATATAGTCAAGTTTTTCATTCTAAATCCTACCTTGTCTATTTGTGTTATTAAAGGAGCTAAGCAGCTGTGTAAAGGAAGTGCCGCTGGATGTGACCCGTATGTTTGGGCAAGGAATGATCAGCAGAGATGGACTTCAGAGAAAAACCAAGCAGCAGGACAGGAAGAAACAGATGGTCTCCAACAAACAGTGCATGGACAGTGTTTGAAATCTCATCTGTCTCTCTCACTGGCCAGTGTGTGTGTGTGTGTGTGTCCCTCAAGTCCATGCCTGAAGGTAATCAAAACTTTGTTCTGTTGATACATCAACACATGCACATACACTCTCTCTGTGTGTTTTGCCCTAATAAAGGGGAGGAGAGGGGAGGGGTGTTTCCGTGAAAGCTGGATTGTCCCACCTCTGTACAACAAAAGCAGGGCCTGTTGGGAGACAGGCGGGACCAGCTCCTGATTAGAAAACTCCATGCAGTGGAAACAGCTGGCCCAGCCAGGGAGGAGGAAAGCACTGTTATCTAAAGGCGACCCCGTCAACCCAGTAGAGAGGAAAAGCTGACAGAGAAACAGGAAGCATGGCCAGGCCATAGCGATAGTTTGATTGGAAACACTGCACGGTGGGTCTTGACACAGGTATGTGGACAGAGTGGCCCAGAACGTTACTGTGTGATAGAAAGAAAGAGCGTTTCTAAAGCATTCTTCAGGGTATCATACTTCAGAATGGGTGTTGCGCAGCCTTATGATGAAGACAACATGTCATCTGGGGAGTGTTGACCTCAGGCTGCCCTGGTTATCCCAGCCTGTCTGTCTGGGCTGTTAACTTATTTATAGTTGGCTTGAGGAGAACATGTTTAATAATACAATGGAGTAGACCAGACAGACTGGACAGCAGCTGTCATTAGCTGGCTTTGTGTCTACCTATGTGAATGAATGAACACATATTCATACATACAGTGCAGGGTGGTTAAGACCGCAATGCCAAAGAATGCATTCAATATTTTTACACATTTTTACAGATATAATGACTTGTCCAAGCATAGACTAAGTCTGTGTAATCACAAACCTGTCTCATGTACCGCCTGCAGATAAGATATACTGCAAACTTAGCAGAATGATAAGGAAATTTGTGTTTGGTCAGTTATTTTGGTGTTGTAACAATGTTTCTTGGCAATAAATCTTATACTGTTGGACAGCCTGTTTATTTTCCACTAAATGGTGCCACATTTGTAGGAAAATGCATTCATGAGTTGAGTGTGTGGGCTACACCCATGCTTCTCTGCCAGTACCAAACAGCTTATTC